GACTGTCAGTATGTGGTGTCGGCTCTGTCGGTGAGGGAGGCGTGTTCGATCGTTCGAAGGTGGGTGTGGATGTCGTGCGAGTCTTGTCCAAGGTGGTGGCCAGTCGTAGGACTTGGTGATGGAGAGTGGTTGGTATGTGTTGTAATCTGAGACATTGGTGGTAGAAAGTCTGCTGGTGCTCCAAGTTTGTTTTCATCGTGGGCAGCAAAGTTTGGAGCGGTTGGATTCGACCTGGTAGGCGTGGGTCCTGGTTGTTGGTGTCGGATTCTGCTAGTTGCAATTGTTTGATTGTATCATGGAGTCGGTTGAGTTGAAGTACCATCAGCCGGTTGATCTGTATGTTGGTGTCCCGCAGCTGTGAAATAATCTGAGCGTCCAAGGCAACAAGGGAATCCATCGCGGGGTCTGTACACGAGCGAAAAAACTGAGCTAAGTTGAATGGCTGAGCTGCAATAACGTCAAGGTATAACCAAGACCACCATAAGTCATCAAGGTCAACAACAACAGTCAAAATCAATGGATAGAATGAATCCTGCACATGCATTGGAAAAGAGTGAATTGAGTGCAAAAGCTGACCGATCTGTACATGGAATCGACGGTGTGGCAATGGTCGGATGTTTTGATATCAATCAGTGTGAGAAAATCAAGAGAAAAGAACTTGTTTGAACATAATGGGACTCCACTTGCAATCGAACTTGTTTTTGGCAGCACGTGTGGAAGAGAATTAGGGCAGTGTTCATGGGTTGGAGTCTATTGCTCACAACTGCTGAAACGACAAAGGAAAGAAGTACAATTATGTAAATAAGTGCAGATTGAGAATAAGTACAAAGCAATCAATAATTCTGGGTGTTCTTCGGCACAAAGTAGTCCTGGGACATAGTAGGTTTGTAGGCGGACTGTGTGACAAAGTGAACTGCTGTCAATCATGTGCTGATGGATCTCGATGTGAGTCCAAGGTGTTGTTGATCTCTGTCTCTTTGTCTGATGGAGCTGGGGCTTCTGTAGTCATCGTACTGGCGTCCCGTGTGGCCGGAGGCGTTGCCTCGGCTTGGTGAGATGTTTTATGAGGTGATGCTGCTTCTGCTTCTGCTTCTGGGCTCTCTGGCGGTTGAGGTGTGTAGAGAATTTGTAAGACTTGCCATCGACCTTTGCAATCAAAAGGCGTTTTGTTGAGTGCGTTGGCAATGTATTTCCAACTGGGGCGAGCTCGCTTGTTGAGTTTGAAGGCAGCCAATTTCTCGTCATCGCTGGGTTCCCATCCTCCATTGTCAGGATATGGAGGGGAGTCACTGAGATTTTGTGGTGGTTTAGGTGGAGGTACTGGTGAAAGAGGTGGTGGAATTGGTAGTGGCTGTGGAGGTGTGGTGGGCGAGCTGTTGAGAGAAATCGTTGTGATCGGTGGTGTAAGCTGTTGTTGGAAGTCTGTGTTGTTTTTGTGTTCCAGTCGTGGTTGAGTCGTTTTGTCTTTGTGGTGTGTTGGCGAGTGCTGATGTGGTGAAGTGTGTGTGTAAGAGGGTGAAGGTTCTGGTTTGCATCTCAAGTGAGATTTGCCGGTGGTGTGAGGTGGACTGCGACTGCGTGATGGAGTAGGTGGTGGCGGCGGTGGTGGAGTGCGTCTGCTTGATCGTTTGGAAGAGGTTGGCGTGGTAATAGGTTGGTGGGCAGGTGGTAGTGGTTGTGGTGTAAAAAGTGGCAGGTTTTGGAACGTGGTGGCAATAGATGTGGCTGCTTGAAGGTGAGCTAAAAGGAGTCGATGTGCGAATGCTGTGTCCAGAGGAGATGTCATCCTCGTGGTACTCGTCGTAGGACCAATATGGCTTGTACGGTTGTAAAAGGTCGTGCTCAATAGTTTGAATAATATAAGATGGCTGCGGTGCAAAGTAAGTAAGTGAAAAGAATGTCGAAAAGGTCATGGGACAACACAAGAAGTCGTGCTGAATCTCGTCAGTGTATGTGAAAATCCGAAAAGCCAGAACGATCTGAAAAATCTGAAAATTCTGACATGTCGACAGTCGTGGTGACTCTAATGTCATGTTGTCTGCAGAAAGTCATGCGGATGCAGCATCTTGAAAATAAATGAAGGTTGTTTGTCAACGATTTGATTAGTGAAAAAGTGAAATGTAACAAATCAGGAGCGAGCAGCATGGATATTTTGAGGACTTGTCGTCATCCGAGATATGGGGTGAAAAAGATCCTCTTGGGCTGGAAAGGGTTGAATTAAATGAAGCTGAGCGGTGGCTTTGCGTCGCTTTTCCAAGCAATCCCTTCAATCCTTGAATGCTTGGGGTGTGCTACCCAGCATTTTCCTGGGGTATATTTCACAATCCCTTCACCTCGAAGTAGCAGGTCGTTCGCAGCGGATTCGCCCCCATGAGTTACTTTCTGGCCATGGCCATAAGCTTTAATCGTCAAGATGAGGCCGCTGCGGTTTTTGGCCATGTTTGAAGCGTTGAATAACACTCGCGCGGCTTCGGCAACATCATGTGGCTCATAGTTCGATAGCTCGCAAGCTTGGCAAAAATAGCCTACGTTGTGGTCGTCGTGCAAAACGGATCTCACAATTTCGCCCGCCTCAAGTATGGAAATGATGTTTCCCTCTTCGCTAACATGTGCCGCAAAGATGTGTTTAATCGGTGGTATATTCAAAGCCTCTCTCCGTGTAGGAGGGAGGATTGGGGCATCGCCCCTGCTCGCTAGTGTGGGGATGGTGAGTAGTAGGAATGAATGATGTTCTTCTTTGTTGGTGTCGTCGCTCCATTTTGTGTGTGTGAGAAGTTGCAGGTCTGTAAAGTGGGTGCTGTTCAGATGGGCTGCGCTAAGCACTTTGGCCACGTAGGAAATCATTGGGTTCATTTTGGACGTCAAGCGATTGTGCGTACTGGTTGATCCATTGGAAGACATCCCATTGTGCAGGATCAGTGGGTGGTTGGAATTTTGGAGGAGGCAGGTTGTGAGGACGTCGTTGAACTGGAATAGTTGGTGGCGCAATGGGCGGTGGCGTTGGTGCCTTTTTGGTGGTATGCTTGGGTGTGAAAAGTGGGTTGGGTTTGAGTGTGATGCCTGAGGTACGGTGGGCTGAGTCCAGAGTGTGTTTTGTAGTGGTGGCAGCGGTGATGTCTTTGGTGGAAGTGTGAGTTTTGTCTTGTGTTAAGGCTGGTGATGGTGATGTGTGCCTGTCAGCAGGCGTGGAATGTGGTTGTGAGCTGGCCACTGATTGTGTAGCCGAGCTTCGTCGTGGCAATGGAGAGCGTGGAGTGCGTACTGAGCGAGTGCGGCTCCTGGATCTGGATGTAGCTTGTGATGGTGCAATGGTGGGAACGGCAGGAAAAGCTGAGTAGCGGTGGTGTTCAGGTGTACGTGGAGGCGAACGATCTGGGTCTCGCCAAATACCTCTTGTGGTGCTGAGTGTGGGCGCAATAGATGGTGTCGGTTTGGTTGTGCGTGGCACGTTGGGTGGTGGTGGAGGCTGAGCTGGTGTGGTGATGGACGCTGAAGCAGGTTCAGTGGGAGCTGCTGGAGTGTGTGGTGGTGGAGCCATTGTGGCAGGCGGTGGTGTAGCGGTCACTGCGGGATTGGTGGCGTGTGGTAGATCAGTTGAGGGAGGTGGTGGTTGTGGTAGTGGTGGGGGTGGTGATTGGCTTGTAGTGTGTGGTGCATGTGGTTGATGTGGTTGATGTGGTTGAGGTGGCTGTGTTGGAGGTGTGTGGACGTGGGATTGTATTGGTTGTGTTGCGTGAAGTGGATGCGGTTGCGGATGTTGGGTACTGTCAAGAGGAGCGGTAGGTTGTACTGGATAATGTGCCTGTACTGGATGTGGCTGCATGTAGTGGGCTTGAGGTGGAAGTGGCGTGGGAAATGGATAACCGTGAGGAATTGGATGATGTGGTGGAACTGGTGGCAGTGTTGGGTATGGTTGTGGTGGAGCATGTGATGGGTATGGGAACCAATGTGGTTGTGTGGGTTGTGGTTGCTGCTGTAGATGTGGTGGTAGTGAATACGGCCAGGGATACGTCATGGCTGCTCGGCAAGTCGAATAAGGTCGATGTATGTATGTAAGTAGAGGTGTGAATCAAAGCAGTCCTTGAACATGAACCTGAAAAAGTGAAACTGTAAACTGTATAATATGTCGCTGCAAAGTGGAGGAGTGTGCAATTGACTTTAATTGAACTCTTGAAATTGAAATTGAAAAATTGAAATGGAAAGGATTCCTGGGTGAGACAGATGCAGTTTGACTCTGCAGTATATTTCAGTGGGAAATTCAGTGAACTCTGCAGTAAACTTCACGTGTGCTGGGTGAGACAATCCAAGCTGATTTCGAGCAGGAAAATCAGTTGAGAAAAATTCAGAAAAACTTCAGGAAGCTTACGCCTGCGGTGAGGAGTGAAAAGGTTCTTGCAGTAACGGCGCCCCGTAGGGATCACACAACTTACCACAGTGGGAAGAAGCTGCGGAGACACACTTGAGAAGGTTGCTCCGTGGAGCGCGATTTCAGGCTGCTTCGCGGTGAGCATTAGCACTTTACATTTAGGTATTGCATTAGCCGAGAGCATTAGCACTTTATTGCAAAATCAACGTATGAGACAGCGTTGAACTGACTTAGAAGCATCAATGAGTGAGAATTAAAAATTGCAGGTACAAGATACTGCGTCCAGTATCTCATCCAACCGAACACCATAGCTTTGTTAGCACGGCTAGGTGAACGGCCGCCGTGCCCCCTGCTGCTGTACAATGGTCACGAAAGTCCTAGGAAAAGTTAGTAAGAGCTAGAGTAGTGTCCTTGGAAACAGGAGTGGACACACACACACATAGAGAAGAAGGTTACCTTGACATCTCAATATCTCGGAACTATTTTTGCAGCGAGGGTTATTCTGCGTTCATAGTTGGCTTAGCTTTCCTGACTGAAAACATAGTTTCCTCCTACAACGCCTTCCGCTTCCGCCACCCAAGCAGAAGCAGAAAGAACAGAGGCACACGAGAATCACATCTGACACTTGCCTGAGGCTCTCCACCTGGCAGACTACAATCGTTTCGGCCCTGGAGTTGTGCAATTCGTCCTTGCCGAGAGGACCTTTTCCTGTTTCCCGGAAAACCGAAGCAGAGACACAGGTGTAGCGCGCACCTGCTACGAACGAGCTGGTTTCAAGATGATCAAGGACACGTAAAACATATTGTTTTTAACGCCCGGCGGGGGGGGGTAGGCCGCCAGAGGTAGCTACTAGCTACTAGCTAGCTACATCTAGCTACATATGGACGGATAACTCACGCTTCCTTGAAGAAGCGCTCGCACTAATGATTTGGTTCCTAGACTTTTAGGAAAACTTACAGTAAGTTTGAAACCTATGGGTATTGGATTTGATTGCCGCGACAAGCCTCTCGCAGCAGGTGTAACTTGCAACTTTGCATTTACTTCAACTTGCCTAGTTCGATTTAATTTTGATTTTCGCCAGGAAGAACCAGACTGTTATGCAGGGGTGGGGCGACGCATGCATTCATCTTTGCTGTGACTTGCCTTGAGAAAGCCGGGGCTTCTGCCCTTTTTTTGATTATTGGTTTGATCCGTCAATGCATGCCATGCAAGCGTAACATGTCGGCTGTAGATACTGGCATTAGATTCTTCCGAGATGTTGATTGATGCCTAGATCTCATGATGACTTGGAATTTTAGTTTAGTGTGTTTAGTGCGACTCATGAACCAGTCGAGGTATGCTCTCTTCATCGAGTAGCCTGTAGCCTTATACTTCTTTGAGCCGTCAGTCGTCAGTCGCAAAAATGCGCAGCACAGAGGCTTTTGGTGTCGTGGTGGCCTTCGCAGTCTTATTCTTTGCAGGTGCAGGAGGTGACAAAGGAGGTCGTGAGACCAATCTACGAGGCTGCAGTTTTGGTGGATGTCAATGTTCCGTTGAAGATACCCACACACACACAGAGCGTGTTATGACAGAGTCAATCGGCCTGTGAAGTCATCGGCCGGAGTGCAGCTCCTGCACTTGGGTTATTTGTACACCTTTTGGCAGGTGACCGAGAAGATTGTAGAGGTGCCCCACACCTTAGTGACCGAAAGAATTCAGGAGGCGCAGCAAAATGAAAAAATGACATGCACTCTTCCGAACACATTGACCTTTTCTCATAGCACTCATGAGCTTTTGAAGGTCTGGGGCCTGGAAACAAGCAGCATTAATGAGAAAGCTGATGAATCAGTCACAGCCCGCAGGTGCCAAAGGTGGAGTTTGTCCCTTTGGTCAAGCAGGTCCCAAAGACGCAGGTAAGAGAAGTTCAGAAGCAGGCCAGGATTCACGGGACACAAGGAAATTGGATCAATGAACATGAGCACATTGAGAAGCAGTTCAGTTTGTTTGATGCTATTTTCTATTTACATTTCATGAAGTCTTAATGCGGCATTCTAAATTCACCATGACATGCAATCATCGAATCAAACGCAGGTAGGCGTCCCACATTTTCAATGCCGTGAACGGGTTGTGGAGGCAATGCAATGATGGTTTCCAACATGGCAAGAACGGTGCCGCCATCTGACACATTGCGGCGCACTCCCGTAGCTACATAGGTGCCTACCACCATGGTGGCCGAACAGATGGTGGAGGTTCCGCAGGTGCAGATTGAGGAGCCATTTGTTCAGATGCAAGGACACATAAGTTATATTTTAAAAGTCTTGCGTGCTTTCTGCATTCCCAGGAGCTCCTAAAGGAGGTCCCGCGGCCAGAGGCTGGCACAGGACCATATCAAAGCAGTCACTTAAAGTTTTCATTACTGTAAATAACTGCAAATAGTTCCTATTTCAGAAAGCCTCTTGGAGTTGTGTGGGCAGGTGAAGGTTGTGGCCAAGCCGGTGGAGAAACCAGTCAATGAATATGTAGAACGTATCGTTGAGGCCAGCATATCTAAAACGTTTGTGTAAACCACGCTTTCCTCAGTTGAGCGTCCCGAAGTGTTTGCTGCAGCATCCCTTATGCGATGCTTTTTAACAAGTTCAGCCTTTGTACCCTTGATCAACCAGCCCGGCAGGTGCCTCACACCACAATTCAAGAGTGCATCATTGAGGTGCGGTTACACTCATCCTCTGGAGCAAAGACACTTTGATTTGGATTGGCCAGCTTTGTTACCTCAGCCTAAGCGCTTGTGTACCGTTTGTAAAGCTGGTTTTATTGAAAGACATCTTATGTGAAACTCTGTCGTCACGAATTGCCAGACTTCTTACAGCCTGCCATTGCAGCCCCAACACAAGAACGTTCGTTTTAGCATTTGTCCAACTCTTTCGATATTCCTGCTGCAAGAAAAATAAACTGTATAGCTTCTGCCTATGGGAAGTACATTGTAAGACAGCATTTGGACGGTGGGCCTTTGTGCTGTTTATCCGGATTTGGACTGATTTGGGCCTTTCTATGTCTTTCTAGTCCTTTTGCGCAATGCTAGCGAATGTTCAAAGCCAGAGCCATAACATGTCACCAGTACTTTCAGTTAGTGATGACCTCATGCACACATGCCAGTCCAGGAGCAAACATCCAGACAACAGAAGCAACCACAACAGTAATGATGCTGAGAACAAGAACCAAACGCCACGAGACAAGAGGTGCGACTAAGACCTTAGAGACACGAGTGCTTGGTTGAGGGGTGCATGATACTACAGTTGAAACGCCATCCGATTCTGTGGGCTTTCAACCTACTAGCGATGGCCTTCAACCTAAGAGTGATGGCCTCCAACGTAATTACTGGCGATGCCTTCCAACCTAAGAGCCATGGCCTCCAACCTACTGGCGATGACCTCCAACCTAATAGTGTCTGATTCTGTGGGCTTTCATGGAAATGCAGAGCGTGAATAGAGGGCCAACCAGCACTTTTCGCGTCACACAGTTGCAACATGTATTTACCCCTGCGGATTGTTCCGCCGGCCCTTTGGGAGGGGGGGGAGGGGGGGGGGAGGGGGGGGGGGGGGGGGAAGGGAAGGGGGGGAAGTTAGACTTGTCAAAAATCCGCGCCGTGGGTACAATTAGACAAAACGCAAAACTACTACTAGGATAGCATACAAACCAATCACCTAAAACACGCCGCGCCCAAGGGCCGGCGGATTTGCTCGAATGGGCCTTCCCGCTCTCGTGCAAGTAGAGCGTACGGTGCTCCAAATTCCAACCAATTTTGTGTATATACTGTATAACAATAACATTGTACAATATGTATAACTACAACTGATGTTTACTGGTTGTAAAGTCAAAGACAGAGCACGATGGCTGCAAGCACTGCTTGCCAAGGTTACCAGACAAAAAGTCAAGCCCTGGCATGAAGATATGCTATTAATCCACAAGTTTACCATATAAGTTTAGTTGATTAACGGCCAAGCCATCGACACCAATCTTTTTCATCTACATGCATGCAATTGTGGCTATGTAACAAGCGTCCACAGCAACGACTGGCCTGGTCACCAGATGCTGAATGCCCACACAGCATCGTGTCACAACAGTATTATATGTACAAACTTGAACAACTAACAGGCATTGGTCTCGACTCAGCTGGGTGACAAGTACTTGTGGGTGGCAAGTGGGTGACACTGGAATAGCCTTGAGAAATGTCTTGCAGGTACCCAAAGTTGAAGTCCAGGAGATTGTGAAACAGGTGAGTCCCAGACACATGCTTTCTGCAAAATTAATTAATCAATACTCTGCCTGACGTTTTCAACATCTACGTTTGCTTTGATTGACATGATACACTAGCAATCATGTCTGTCAATCGATTCTTTGTTTCAGGTGCCCCGACCTGAAGTGCAGGTCGTTGACAGACAGGTTTGGCAGTCAATCTTTTCCAGCTCAACTTTCGGGTGCTACAGAGTGCTATGGAGTGCTACAGCTATGGCTATACTATGGCTAATGCGCACATATATATATATACTTAGTGCATAGCTGCTGACACACGTTTTGCCGCTTCGCACTGAAGTTGGTGGCATGTCATGCCCAGCGATCCTTCGTCGCCTATGGCAACCAGCCACCACCC